CATACCTATTTTATTTGAGATCCAATCATAACAATTTATTTGTGTTATTAATCAATATAAAATTAAAATTCGTTATATAATAAAAATCATTAATTATTATATTTAATTTAATTGTATATAATGTACATTTTATATAGGTGATTTATGATGCATATTTAGTTAATTTATTATGAATATTTAGGTAATTTATGATGCATATTTAGTTAATACGAAATGCATACTTGTTATATTTAAATTAAATTATAATAATACTTATATAATTAATTTATTATGCATATTTACTTAATTCATGATACATATTTAGTTCTTACGAAATGCATATTTAGTTCATGAACAATGCATACTTATTTTATTTGAGATCCAATCATAACAATTTATTTGTGTTATTAATCAATTTAAAATTAAAGTTCATTATATAATAAAAATCATTAATTATTATATTTAATTTAATTGTATAAAATGTACATTTTATTGCATATTTTTGTTGCATATTTAGTTCATTCCTGATGCATATTTAATTAGTAAAATGTGCATATTTAGTACATAAACAGTGCATACATAGTTGATATTACTGGTGCATATTTAGTTCATAAGGATAACATATATAATTCATTTATGATGCATATTTAGTTCATACTAAGTGCATAGTACTGATGCATATTTACTTCATACACAATGCATGCTTAGGGTCAAAGGTCAATGTTGAAAGTCAACGCCGGAAGTCAACGATTTTCGCCGGAAGTCAACACCGGAAGTCAACGATCAATGCCGAAAGTCAACGGTCAACGCCGGAAGTCAACGGTCAACGCTGGAAGTCAACGGTCAACGCCGAAGTCAATGGTCAATTGTCAAAATAATATTTAAATAATTAAAATGCAAAAATGCCACAATCAACCTTGTTCTTTTCATCTCGCCATGGCAAATCAAGTCTCACAGCCCTCATTTTTTTTACAGCCGCTGTCAATTCATCACATTTCTTGGATTTCAAGTATCCACTAAACAACTTTCTCTGAAAAGAACAAAAAAAAGAGTTGCTAAACATATAACATAAAAGATTTTGACAAAAAACAAGAATGATATTATAAAAAAATGAAAGATAATCACCAAATTTGAAGGGCAATTCTGATATTTGGCATTACTACATCCTCCAACTGACGAATTGTCCAGGATGTGATATTGATTTCTCTTCATATCAAAGCACAGGACAAAAAAGTGCTCGCTCTTGAAGATGGGAAAGAAAAACTGAACACAAATAAAATAAATACATTATTACACATGAGATTAAGTAGATTAAACAAATTGATTTCATAATAAAAATAAAATTACCATATCAACATCTTTAATATGTGCATGAGAATCAGAACGCTTGAATTCATCATCAAAATCATCTTCAAACTGCTTGAGATTATTTTTCAACTCCCATTTTTCATCAGCTGTGCACACGATGTGTTTCTGAACACAATAAACATATATAAATACACTTTATAATAAATATGCATAACATATAAACTATCTTCGCAACTATCAAGTACTAATATAGCAATAACAAAAATCAAATTGTTCTACAAATTATATGCAACGATTGTCAACTAAATATACGTCAGGAGATAATTATCTATGCATCGATAACAACTAATATAGCAACAGCAAACAACATATTGATATGGACAAACTATGCA